TGGGGTGTTAATGCAAATCAAAGGCAAAGAAGCAGTGACAACCTAAGCCCCCATAATAGACCATAACAAAGCAAGAGGACCCTAAAGATGGTAGTGTGGAGCAAGAGAATCCAATCAACCAAGTGGTTTGAAAGATGACAATGTGGAGCTAGAGGCCTCAGGTTGGGAGAATGTCAGCATTAATGGTGGAAACAAAGGGAAATGTGTCTTGAACCCTAACAGCCAGAAAAGTATCACATGCCAAAATGGTTTTGAGGCCTTAAGAATTGAAATTCTTGAAAGGTCACAAGCAGAAGTGACATGATGATCTCTTGGAATGTGAGGGAGATAAATAACTCAGGAAAATGCCATGAGGTTGTCTCCCGCCTCAATTAGTTGGATCCTGAGATTGTTATTCTTTTAGAAACTTGAGTCAAGCCTCAAAATGCCGTTAAAGTCATAAATAAGTTTGGCAAGAAGTGGAAAATGGTTGACAACTATTCTAAGCACGATAATTGGAAGATATGGATACTATGGGATGAGATAAGAATAAAGGTGGCTACTCATGCCATATCTACTCAATTTATTCATTGTAGTGTTTCTTGTCTCAATGGTATTAGAAAATTCTGGCTAACTGCCATCTATGCCTCTAATGCCCTTGACCAGAGGAAGGATCTTTGAAAGGATATTACTAACATCCATGCCAATGTTTTAGGGCCTTGGTGCCTTATGGGTGATTTGAACAATGTCTTAAGAGCTCAAGACAAAATTGGTGGTAATATGGTTAGTGAGAATGAGTATAAAGATCTTATTAAGATGATGGACCAAACTAACCTATTTGAAAAGGATAGTCTTGGAGATCACTTTACATGGTGCAATAATCAGAGGAATGTTATGATATACTCCATAATTGATAGGGTCCTGGGGAATATTGATAGGCAGTAGCAGAATTTGGATACAAAGCTCATCATCTTGAACCATGGGGTATTAGATCATTCCTTAATGTGTCTAAAAGGTACTAATGTGAAGCGTCCAATTAGAGTTCATTTCAAATTCCAAAATGTTGTCATCAATAAGGCTGACTCTACAAGGATTATGTGCAACAAATCTAGGAGGAACATTTAGTTAGCAATCCCATGTTTGTCATGTGGGAAAAGCTTCAAAGGCTTCAACTTGTGATCAAACAGCTTAACAAATCTTTCAATGGGATTAATCATCACCTTGGGAGAGCTAGAGAAAAGCTAACCATTGCCCAAGATCATTTACTAAGAGACAAAATGAATATGCAGGTCATTAATAAAGTCAAACTGTGCACCAATGAAGTTATGAGATTGAGTAATCTTGAAGAGAGTATCATTAAGTAGAAATAAAATGCGGACTGGACCAGACTTGGTGATGGAAATAACTCTTATTTCCATACCTCTTTGAAAACTAGACAAAGGCAAAATCAACTTGATAATTTAAAGGATGAGAATTGGAATAATCTTTACCAGCAAGAGGAGATTGAACAAGAGATTATTAAATACTATAAGAAGCTCATAGGCACTTTCAACAACAATATGACAAACATAAACTTAGTTTCCATGAGGGAAGGTCCTCAAATGATTGGTGAGATGAGTGACTTCTTAATTGCTCATATTTCTAAAACTGAGATCACCAATAGCTTGAAAGGTATGAAGGATCTCTCAGCCCCTGACATTGATGGGTATAATGCCAAAATTTTCAAGAGTGCTTGGGAGAGCATCAAACACGACACCATCAAAGCTATCAAAGATATTTTTTTGAGAGGGAGAGAATCTACAAAGCCATTAACTTCACCCTTATCACTCTCATCCTCAAGATCAATGCTGCTAATATGGTTAAAGTTTTCAGACCCATATCTTGCTGCACAATCATTTATAAGCTGATTTCTAGAATTATGGCTAATAGATTGGGGAAGGTATTGAACAACATCATCCATAGAAGTCAGGCTGCTTTTTTGCCAAGTAAGAACATCCATGACCATATCTTCATTGCTTATAGATTGATAAGAGGGTATAGTGCAAAAAATGGAGCCCCTAAATGTATGCTTCAGATTGATTTACATAAGACCTATGATACTGTTGAGTGGACAACTTTAGAGACCATCTTGAAGGAGATCAACTTCCCTCATCAGTTTATTAGGTGGATAATGTTAACTGTCAAAATTGTCTCATACAAATTTCAGGTGAATGGAGTCTATACTCAGATGGTGGAAGCAAAGAGAAGCCTTAGACAAGAGGATCCTTTGTCCCCCTTGTTATTTGTGATAGTAATTGAGTATTTATATAGATTACTTCAAAAGCTCAAGGACAAACCTAATTTCAACTTCCATTCCAAATGTGAGAAGATGGATATTATAAAGTATAAACCATAACTTTGTAGATGACTTGCGCCTGTTTGTAAGAGGTGGCATAAAATTAGTGAAGATGCTGATGATTGTGTATGATGAATTCTCCAATTCCACAGGGCTAAAGATAAACACAGCCAGGTGCAAGGCTTTCTTTGGGAATGTGGGATTTGAGGTTAGTCAAAGAATTCCAAGAGATTACCAAGTTTTCTGAGGGTCAACTGCCTTTTAGGTATTTTGGTATACTTCTTACCAGCAAGAAGCCAAACATAATCCATTGCATTCCTCTAATTGATATAATCTCGGCTAGAATAGATCATTTGAGTTATAGACTTCTTTCTCTGGCTGGTAGGACTCAGCTAATCAATAATGTCTTATTTGCTCTTTCCAATTACTGGCTTCAGTATCTGCCATTGCCTAAGAAAGTGTTGGCTAAAATTGATGCAATTTATAGATCTTTTTTGCGGTCAGGGTCTGATAAGATCACTAGAAAAGCTCCCATAGTTGGAAGAGGACTTGCTCTCAAAAGAAGCATGGAGGCTTGAACATCATTGATTTAAGCAATTGGAACAAGACATGTATTGCTAAGCTGATCTAGAATCTCAATAGGAAAGATGATAGCACGTGGATCAAATGGATCCAATGCTACTACATTAAAACTAAAAATGTGACGACAATGGATCTCAAGAGCAACACATCTTGGATCGTTAAAGCTATTCTGAAGCTGAGGCCCATTGTTACTTATCTGAATATTTGGGAAACTTTTGTGCAAGAAGACAAGTTTTACACTAGAAAATGGTATGTTGTGCTAAATGATACTCATCAAGTCATGCCTTAGAGGAACGTCTTTTACAATAATCCTGCAAGGCCAAGAGCTCAATTCACTTTGTGGTTGGCTTGCCATAGGAAATTGATAACAAATGACAAGTTGAAGAGATTTGGCTTATACAATGAAGAAGATTGTTGCTTCTGCAGAGAAATTGAGAGCCTGAATCATCTGTTCTTTCAATGCAGACATATGAGAAATGTTTGGCAAGAGGTCCTGAATTGGTTACAACTTGTGCATCATTCTGGCAGCTAGAGTGATGAGATTAATTGGGTCATTGAGATGAGCAAATCAAAGAATCACAAGAGTAGCATCTTTAAATGTGCCCTAGCTATAACTCTTTATGAGTTGTGGAGAATTAGGAATGAAACTTGTTTTGGGACCGTTTGTAACTTCAGCAAGATTGGCTCAAAGATCATAAATTATATTGTCTATAGATGTTGGATGAAAGCCAACCTTAGAAAAATCATAGGTAGATTGTTTATGCCTTAGGTTTGTTTGTCTTCTTTTCTTATCCCTTTGTTCAGCTGGATCTCGTTTAGGGATGGCTTGCTTGTAATAGTTTTTTTTAACTAATAAAATATTTTTATTCTAAAAAAAAAATCTTGATGATAAATATACATACTTTATAACTTTAAACTTACTTTAATTTAATAGTATAAATATGCAAAATGTTATCACTTGAAAATAAATAGATGACATGTGCATATTTGAATGTAAGTCAATAAGTATGACACATGGTTGATAATAGACCATTTTACTTTCTCAAATTTAAACTCAAATATTTAAATAGTTCCTATTCTCTATCCGAATTCTTAAAGAGAATAGCGAATTAAAATTTAAGTTCGTTTCAAATGAATTTGAGTTGGGTACGAATATTCTCATCCTGTCACTATTTATTTATCAATTTTATTTAATAAAAAATATATATTTTTTTAAATTAAATTAAATTATAAATATAAAATAAAATAATCTCAAAAGATTCCATACATACATTTCAAATATTTAAAATAATAAATATAAATAAAAATATCAGATCAATATTTAATATTTTAAGTTATCAAAATTAATCAATAATATATATATAATAAAATAAATGAGATATATTCGAAGTAGGTACTAATATCTTTATTATCCGACCCATATAATAATATATATAATAAAATAGATGGGGTATATTTAAAATAAATATTAATGTCTTTATTACTCAATCCATATTCATATATTGTAATTAAAAAAAATCGAACCCCAATTCAAATCCAATCAAATAAATTTTTTAAATTAAATTTAAGACATATTTAGATGACTATTCATGATGTAAAACTTCTTACACTATTCATCATGATTGAATTTATTTTGGCTCATTAAATTCATAATTGATTTACTTCATATAAATAACCATTTTAATATTTATTTTTTCCAAATGAGTAACTCAATATCACCTTTTACTTTTACTCAACCACTCAATATTACTTATGGTAAGAATCTTAATATTCATTTTATTTTAAAAACAATTAATAAAAAAAAAAGAAAACACAAAGGAAACCTCTCCTTCTCTTTCTCTCTCTCTCTCCACACACAGAAACATTGCTCCCTGACCGAACCCCAACTCCTTCACCCCATTCCACCCTCCACTCTCTCTCCCACACAAAAACGAAACTCTTCCATTCCGAAATCAAGCTTCTCCCTCACCTCCCCCAATTCGATCCATCTCACCCCCATCTCCCTGAATCCCAAACCGTGATCAGATCGATTAACATTCTGCTCAGGGAAGGGCATTTTCATTGAAATGGGAATGCCCAATCCCAATCTCATCCTCATTAAACCATGAACAAACCCACCGTGGTTTCTGACCAAGACCATCAAGATTTCTTCTACGAATCGCACGACCGTTTACTCTCTCTTTCATCTTCATGCTCTTGTTCTAACTCCAACTCTGACCAAGAACAAGAAGAAGACGAAGATAACAATAACAATAACCACCACGACCACCACAACAACCACCACAACACCAATAACAATAATATTTGCAATTACAATTTTGCCCTTAACAGTTACGACATATGGATCTCCCAACCTTCCTCCGTCTCCGAACGCCGAACCCGTCTTCTCCAAACCATAGGTCTCTCTTCCGACCCTACGCTCTCACGCGGAAACCCTATCCCACCTTACAATGCCATGTTCCGATCCAAATCTGACGGTTACAATAATTCCAACGCAAACGAAAGTTCTTATCCCTCTCTTAATTCTTCTTCTTCTTCTGTAAATTGCTCTCTTCCCGGTAATTGCGGCGGATCCCCCGGTAAACCTCCATCTGGAAAGAATAATTCTAGAAGAAGTAATTCCGGCGCTGATTTTTTGCCGGGAAGTTTGGGTTCTGCGGCGGAGGTGGTTGAGACGACGGTGGAGGTTTCTGTTTCCGGCGAGGCGGAATGTGGTGAGATTGAGAGAATTGAAAGAGGAGATGAAGAACAAGCTTGTACTATTAGAGATCTTGACAATGGGAAGGAGTTTGTTGTGAAGGAGGTTAGAGAGGATGGAATGTGGAATAAAGTGAAGGAGGTTGGGACTGGGAGACAGTTGACTATGGAGGAATTTGAGATGACCGTAGGTCATTCTCCGATTGTGCAGGAGCTTATGCGGAGGCAGAATAACGAGGAGACTGGTGATGGAATTGGGGGAAGTGGTGGTGGTGGCGGTAGTGGTGGTGGTGGAAGTGGGAATGGGAGTGGGAATGGAGGTTCTTCTAAGGGGAAGAAGAAAGGGGCGAGTTGGTTGAAGAGTATTAAGAGTGTTGCTAGTTCGATGGCTGGACATAAGGAGAGGCGGAGCAGTGATGAGAGGGATACTTCGTCGGAGAAAGGCGGTAGGAGGTCGAGTTCGGCTACGGATGATAGTCAGGATGGTTCGTTTCATGGACCGGAGAGGGTGAGAGTGAGACAATATGGGAAATCGTGTAAAGAGTTAACTGCATTGTATAAGAGTCAAGAGATTCAGGCTCATAATGGTTCAATTTGGAGTATCAAGTTTAGTTTAGATGGCAAATATCTTGCTAGTGCTGGTGAGGATTGTGTGATTCATGTTTGGCGGGTTGTGGAGTCTGAGAGGAAAGGTGAGTTGTTGCTTATGGAGAAACAGGAAGATGTTAATGTTAATATGTTGTTTCTTGTGAATGGGTCGCCGGAACCCACTTTGTTGTCTCCTTTGGCGGATAATCTTCCAGAGAGGAAGAGAAAGGGGCGATCGTCTGTTAGTAGAAAGTCCTTGAGCTTGGACCAGTTTGTGGTCCCTGAAAATGTGTTTGCACTCACTGAAAAACCCATTTGCTCCTTTCAGGGACATTTGCATGATGTGCTTGACCTCTCCTGGTCTAAGTCTCAGGTTAGCTCCCGTTTTTAAGACAGGTCTTGTGTTTTGTTATTGCCGAGGCATTTTCGATGCCTTGGTGTGTATGTTTTTAAGGTTTACTATTCACTCTTATGTTGGCATTGCTTAATTTTGGAAATTGATCTAACTACAGTTTTATTATTAGATTTCTATTATTGAGTGAGGAACTGATGAATTGGCTTTTGTTAAACCTTTTTTAGTTTTATTCTGAGATAATATATAACAAAGTTCGGTATTCGTTATATTTTGGGTGGAATTGTCTTCAATTGGCTGAACCGGCGCATATATTTTTTCCAGGTTGCATTAGAATACATTTAACTGTTAGGAATGTCTATTATGTTGTTTGGGGGAGGTTCCCAGACCCTTTTATTGTGGAATATGTATGTGCGCAGCACACACAAGATATTATTCTTAGGTTGGTGTCTCTCATTTGGGTTGCATTAATATTGTCTCATTTAGGTATTATTAGAACAAGTAGAAAAAGTTAGGTCCCAATGAAAAGATTTCTGGATCTTTTTCTTCTCTTCTACTCTTTTCAGATTCAAATTTTTGTTTGTAAACTTCTAATTTTAGTGGGTCTAAAATGGTTTATTTTTCCTAGAGTTCATTATGATTCTAGGCCTTTCTTGGGAAGTAGACATTTAAAACTGAACAGTTTAGGGAGGGAACTTAAACACGGCGGCAGGGTAGCAGTGTGTTCAGAGTTCTCTTAATATTTAATGTTTCTTTGATAATAAAACACTCTGTCAAGTGTATCTAGTTTTTACTGCAATTGCTATAGTGAACTGTGATTGAGGGAGAGCTTAGCTTAGCTAGTACATAAGGGAAAGGAGAACAAAATTTACTGCTTAAACGACAGATCGAATGTCTGTACAATTGCTATAGTGAATGAGACGGTATGTTGATGTCTGTGCAATGGAAGGATGAGATTTTATTTTGTTTTAAAATTAACTTCAGGTTAAGTAAGCTGTAATCCATCCTATTACCACAATAATAAAATTTATTTATTTCCTCAGCTCAACTAATGTGTTTGAACTTATAAAAATGACTTGCCCACACCAGCAAATTAATGTTGTTGTTGAACTACTTCACACCCAATGTTTAAACAGACAAAAAACATTTGTAGCTAGTTCTAGTTTATATTGTTTTATGAAATCTTATTAAACTTAAAGGTTCGAATCCTATTAAAGAGGGGATAAAATCCTTTGAAAGTTTTGAATTGATATCTTTAGTTTACCAAACTGCCCCCTATAGTATATACATTGGAGCCGGAGCGGATGCATATGTAAACTAAACGCTTTGTGACGTCCTGTTCGAGTCATGCCTTATTGTTTACAGTGACACTTGTGCAAATAGGATGAACACCTCTGGTAGTAACTAAAGTTTGAAGAATGAATTATAATGATTGATATTGTTTCTAGCTCAGACAATTTTTTTGAATTTTTAAAAGGATTCAGTGCGGCGGGGGACTTATTGGTTTATTTGTCTAGCTTTTCAATTGATGTTTGTTGAATATCTTTAAAATTTAAATATTTTTAATAAAGCAGCTCTTTCTGTTCTTGAAATATGTGTTAAAGTACCAGTGTTTTTCCATCACCCTTGTAATGTTTTTATTCCACATTTTGAACAGCACTTGCTCTCATCTTCAATGGACAAAACAGTGCGGCTGTGGCATTTGTCTAGCAAGTCTTGTTTGAAGATTTTTTCACACAGTGACTATGGTGAGTAAATGTTATCATTCTATCATCTTGCAATACACTCACCTTTAGGCTCCCTTCTTCTTAGTTGAAGACATGTAGGCCACTCTGATGGCAGAGTATGCATATACATTAGTGGTTTTTTGTTAAAGCTTCTTCTGCCTTTTCCCTAGTAAAAGAATTAAATTTGAAGTCCATCCTATTCCTATCCAATTTAATTCAAGATAATGTTTTTTAGGATTGGGTAACCCATTATGTACAAGGCATAGTTTTATCAAAATTTGCATATAGGACTAATTATACAGGAGTTCTTTTATACCCAATAGGGTGGTTAAATTCAGCAATTCAATCCCCTCGCGTCCTCTTTTTTCCTCTGCTAATAATATCTTTCCGTTTCAATCTGCTTTCTGTCTGGTACAGTAACTTGCATTCAGTTTAATCCTGTTGATGATCGATACTTCATTAGCGGATCTTTGGATGCTAAGGTTCGCATATGGAGTATTCCTGATCGACAAGTTGTTGATTGGATTGATCTTCATGAGATGGTCACTGCTGCATGTTATACACCTGATGGCCAGGTTGGTTCACTGTTAATATGCATCCATTTCAGCATTCAGAAACTCAACATTTCAGTTACAACTTAGTTAAATTGTCTGCAGGGTGCACTAGTTGGTTCATACAAGGGTAGCTGTCATTTATATAATACATCTGGTACTGTCAGTTGCTCCTCTTTTTTTCTTTTTATAATTGTGTCTATTCATCAAAACACTATTCTGCAATTGTGGGGCCACTGATTATCGTCTTGTTTTTATATTCCGTTCAGAAAATAAGTTGCAGCAGAAAAGTCAGATCAATTTGCAGAACAAAAAAAAGAAATCAAATCACAAGAAAATTACTGGCTTCCAGGTAATTCAGTGATTTACTGGCATACTACTGTGCCTAAGTTATGATGCTTATGATTGTCTTTGTATTTGGATTTTATGAACAGTTTGCCCCAGGTAGTTCATCGGAAGTACTTATCACTTCTGCTGATTCTCGAATTCGGGTTGTTGATGGTATTGATCTGGTTCATAAGTTTAAAGGTGCGTAGCACTAGCTAAGATCAAGTCAAATTTATTTAAAAGATGACATAACAAGTGAATTGACCATTATGTAAATTGCTTTCATCTGCATGATAAATGGTGTTTGATCATAGGGTCAAAGCAATTCTTTTTCAACTGTAATCATGTTTTGTCTAGAGGGATGGGAGGTTCTGCTTCTTTATCTAGGCTGATAGATTTATTGGAAATTTATTTGGACCAATGAAATTTTTTTTGGTGGTGCATGCTTGCTACCTCAGCAGGTCTACAGTATATATTTATTTTCTTGCTGATCAAACTGGTGTAAGTTTTGTGCAGGTTTTCGAAACGCAAGTAGTCAGATTTCAGCCTCCCTCACAGCAAATGGAAAGTATATTGTTGCAGCAAGTGAGGATTCCCATGTATACATCTGGAAAAATGAAGCCGATTGCAGACCTAACAGAAGTAAAAGTGTCACCGTGACACAGTCCTATGAACATTTTCACTGTAAAGATGTGTCAGTGGCCATTCCCTGGCCTGGTATGGGTGATGCATGGGACATGCATGATACATTTTCTGGAGAACAACCTGAGCTTGATAACAATAATGATGAAATCGCATCAGCCAATCATCCTCCTACCCCTGTAGAGGAAAACTTTGGTGTTGAGGGTTCCCATTCTGCTTCAGGTTTCAATAGTCCGCATCATGCAACCATTGCGAGTGCGACAAACAGTTACTTTTTTGATAGAATTTCTGCAACATGGCCAGAGGAAAAACTTCTCCTGGCTGCTAGAAATCATCAAAGCCCTCGTATCAGTACGGATATCTCAAATGGTGTAAGTCAAAAAATGTCAGCTTGGGGTATGGTGATTGTTACTGCCGGTCTTCGAGGTGAAATTAGAACTTTCCAAAATTTTGGATTGCCACTGCGAATATAATAGGCAATATATGTATGGCTATATGGCATGGCGGAGAGTGAGTTGTTATCAGCTCAGAAGGAAGTTGAGATCACCTTCTCCATTAGCTGGCAAAAAACTGTACAGAAAAGTGGGTGAGGTTTGTAATATTAGCAGGGTTTCATTTATTTCCTTGTTCTTGTGCTTATTGGATGAAGATAGATTATCATTTCGTTCATGCACTTAGGGGGGAAACATTGTCAAACAAAAAAGAAAAAAAAAAAAAGGTACACCAGAAATTTAGAAACCGATGGATGTAATCGGGAAATGTAGAGTAACGCGAGTATGGGAAAAGCTTATTGAAATTAGAAATGATGATTCTTTTACACTTGTTTCCTTGTTTTTTTTTGTTATTGAATTCAATATGTTGTCAAAGTAAATCAGTTTGCAATAAGTACCATAGATGCAAGTGTTAGCGTCACTAAAAAATCCATGTTAAGAGTCTGATGATGCTAATTGGCTGTTCTGTTTATTATGGGGATGTCTTTGTTGTAACTTCCAAATCACTCGAGAGTTCAAGAATTTGATCATGCAATGCATCTGAAATGCTGTATGTTCTGATGACTTAACCATTTCTGTGCTTGTTGAAATGGTAAATGACTGTTAAAATTGTAAAATCACAATTCAATTGATAATATGAACAACTTGGATTCCAATAGACGCGGCATTGATGTGAGACAGATGTTCGAAATATCACAATTTTAAAAGACAATTTTAACACATGATGTCTCACCAAATGCTTATCTATTACTAAAATTTGGTATAAGATTTAGGTCTAGATGTGTGCTATATGATGCAGCAACTCAATAATTGTTATTTGAGGCAAATTGCACACTGAGGCAATATTCTCTAAAGGACATCGAAGGTTCAACCAATGTTTTAGGGTTCTCGGTTACAGGTACATAATTGTTAGTACTACTTCAGTCCCTGGATCATAATGCATAAGCTTACAACAAAGGTGCAGCTATTCACGCCTCCTTTATTTTAACAAACAGCCACGGTTCAAAAGTACTCCCCTATTCTTTACTAAGTATCAGTTTTTTGAATTTTTTAAAATCATTTTTCAATATTATTTTGAAGTTTAAAATAATTTTAATTATAATTTTGTCAAAATTATCTTTGCATTATTGTAGAGAAAGAAAAAGTGAAATGAAATAATAACAATAATAACTATTTTTTTAATAAATAGTTAAGACCTAATTGAAATAACAATAAAAAAGTTAAGGTTATTATATACAAAAGGAATTTATATATGGTGAAATGAGAACATAAAAAGTAAAAAAAGTGAAATGAGATAATAAATAGTATATAAAAAATTAATTTATTTTTTAAAAAGTAACAATTTATAAGAGCTTATTTATTTTCTGAAACAAAGAAAATTTGTAATTGGATTAGACCTATATCATAAGACTATTTTTAATCCACTCTATATGTTTCTATGCGCATTTCATTCGTTTTGAATTATAACTAAATTTGATGAATAAATTTATTTTAAAAATATATTTTTAAATTGTAAGACTAGCAGTATTTATGGAAAATGATCTATTTGAAAAAACTTTTATCCCACAAAATGTCACCAGACTTACTATGCAGATGCTGATTTGTATATGAATGCGCGTGTTTCTCCTATTTCTTTGACCTATTATGGGTTTTGCCTGGAAAATGAAAGCTACACAGTAAATTTGTATTTTGCTGAAATAATGCTCACAGACCATCAAACTTATGGCAGTCTTGGAAGCCGTATATTTGACAGTATCATAGTAAATGTGTTTCCATGTCCATAAGAAACATTCAGTATTTTTAATTTAGCTCGTAACATTGTATTTAAAATGCAAAGAAATAAAAATGTATTTCCAGTATTTTTTTTCCAATATCATAGTATGTTTTTAGTTTTAGTTAACTTTAATAAATTCCAGGTTTCAAAAATGTATTTCTGGAAATATTTCAAAAATATATTTTTAGAATAAGTTTACTCATAAAATTTGAGTGTGATTAAACAACGAATGAAATGTGTGTAAAAGGTGCGTTCGGACATAAATTTTTAAAAATAAAAAATATTTTTAAAAATTTGTATGGTACATTAAAAACATATAAAATACTTTAAAAAATAGTCTATCATAATTTATTTGGGTTAATATGGCAAGAGTTTCATAAGTCCAAACACAATTATTTGTTGGGATTTGTTCTTCCCACTCTTATTGGTGAAGAACCACTCTAATAAAATTCAAAAATGCCCATTCAATAAATTTGAAAGTACACTTTCAGACACATTTAATCCATACCAAAATACATTTTAAGTGAGATGCACCCCCATTTTTTTAAAAAACTAGTTTATAAGTGTATCTCCGGACTCACTTATATAATAATTTTGTTTATTTCACAACTCAGTGATAAATTTGGAAATGCAGTTCTAGATTTGTCAAGTGAAAAATTTAATAAAACACCACCTTATATGTATGCTTCATTCATGATCATACCATCATTTCTTTTTCAAGTCTCCCGTCTACTTACTTCATAGATTATGGAAGCAAGTTTAGTTCTATTGAAGTCATTTATGAGAAATTCTTGAAGAGCCATTTTACGCTCATCGAGAGGTTTGTCAGACACTTCCTTTACTAGAGCAATACAATCTTTTTCTAGAGTTTTATTTTTATTACGAACATATTTTAATTCATCTTTCAAAAGATCATATTGCTTTTTCAATATTTTCACGTGTTTGGCTTTCTCTTGACATCTTCCCATGAGTTCTTGAACAAAAGTAATTAAATCAGAGCGAGTTAGATTAGAAAATACCTCATCATCTTCTCCATACTCTGAAATAAAATCTGAGTCAGATTCTGCTTCAAAAGATGTAAGAGCCATCAATACAAGGTTGACTTGCTCTTCATCCTTTTCAGAGTCTTCCTCATTGTCAAGTTCATCTCATGTTGCCGTGAGACTTTTCTTAAATTTGTTCTTGAAGCTATATTTTTAAAAGTTTCCCTTCTTTTCATTGTCCTTTTGTAGTTTAGGCTATGATGCATAGGTACGGGCACGATATCCGGTGCAAGTATCGGTACAGGATACAACATATTTTAAAAAAATTAAGATACGAGTACGCTAATAAGAAATAAGAAATTTTCATGAAATTTATGAGTAGAGAATTAAATTGTCAGGTTCATAGCAAAACACCACTATAAAAAATTGAAAAAACCAAAAATAATGTTAAGATACAATTACAAAAAAATTAAAACTCATAAATATACTATATTGATATTTGAGAAAACCACAAAATAAATTCAAAATCGAATAATGAGAAAAAATGAAGCACCACGAGTACAGTACAAGTGCATATCCAGTACCGGTACTTCACCATTTTAGAAGTACCCATGCTTCATAGAGTTCATGACATTCAATAATGAAGTGATCAGCCTTCTTGGAGTTGAAACAACCTTTTTTACTATCCTTCTTTTCTTTTGATCCAGATCCTTTGAAGCCACTACTTCTGTCAGAGAATCTCTTGTTCTTCCTGATCAGATATTAAAACCTTTTAATGATGAAGGTCATTTCCTCATCATCTGAATCATATTCAGAACCTTCAACATGAGAAGTTTCTACAAAATCCCAGACATGAGGAGCCTTGACAGTTTTAGCAACAGATTTCAAAGCCAGTGGCTTTGACTTTTTGACAGATTCATCTCCTTTGAGATCCATCTCATGGCTCTAAAGATTACTGATAATACTCTCAAGACTAAATGTGTTTAAGTTTTTAGCCTCTTGCATAGCTTTTACTTTAAGTCTATATCTGACAGGAAGACTCTTAAGAATCTTCTTGACATGATCAGACGTAGTATAAACCTTGTTTAGAACCTGAAGTTCAGATACAAGAACTTGAAACCTAGAAAACATGGTTTCAAGGTCTTCATCCTCCTATATTCTGAACGGCTCATAATGTTGAACCAGAAGGTTAGCCTTAGCTTTCTAAACTTGTTGTTTCCCTTCATAAATAGCAAATAGGGAATTGAAAATGGTTTTAGATGTGGATTTATTAATGATTTTGATGTACTCAAAATGAGGAAGAGTATCAACCAAAATACATCTAACTCAATGATGTTTTCTATAGACCGTTTTATGAGCTTGTCTGAGAGCTTATCTATCAGACACCATTCCAACTCTATTGACTAGAATATCAATGCCATCTTTTAGGATGTCCCACAAATCATCATCAAGGCTTATGATATGAGTATACATCTTACTCTTCCATCATTCAAATCCAGTGGAATCTCTACTGAAAGTTGGAGGTCTAGTTATATAATTGTTCTTATCTGGATTGTTATGATCATGAATTATAACAAGATGTGGAGTAGGAGTACTGTAACGCCCTTCTAAACCCCACGGAAAATATACGAATAATCAGAGTAAATTTGCATGCATTCACAAAAGGGCGTCACATATAACTTTCAAAACATCAAAACCACTTGTCATGCTCATTAACACTTATAATAAATAATCATGCTTCTCACAATTTCACTTCACATGTAGCAACTGATTCATTTTATAACATAATTCTCTTAACAGATCATTCAGATTCATCACATACTTCAACATTACTTAGGCACCAAGGCCAACATCATAATATTCCAATGAATATAAAAACATAACATAGAATACATAATGTATCTCTAAAATATAAACCAAACGATCCCAGTGTTACATGACCAGAGCATGACTCGACCCAATATAACTAAATTACTAAATGGCTACACCAACAACGACCACGCAACTACGAGCAGCTCTATTCTCGATACCTGCACGATGTCAGATAGGACATCATTCTAGCAGAAGGGTGAGAAATATTATCATAATAACAATGCATATAATCATATATGTACATTAACATAAAAATATGCTTACACTACGATCTCACCATATTTTATCACAATTCATTCATCTACATCGTAATGTACATATGCACAATTTACATCATTACACGTAAACATACA